GATCACTGGAAGTATATAGCTGCTTCTTCATTTTTTTTTACTGGAAACTCAGCGTAACGACATTTAGTAAATGTTTGAATTTTGCGTATCAGACACCTCTATTTTCACGGAATTTTCAAAGAAGTCTGATTACTATACAAGGCTCCACATTAATGCTACCTGCAACTTCATTTCGAATAATGCTATCGTTTGATACATCCTCAGATATGGGAAGCAGAGATGTGGCTTTTTAGTGCAGCTAGGGCCTTATATTGTTTTGCACAGATGTGGCAATGTTGGTCGTATTTTGCAGTTGTTACATAAATGCTTCTTAACGTCGAATGAATGATTTCTCTGTTTGCTTGATGATTTTTGAGGCCTCGCCTTCTTTGACAATCTCGGCCACATTTCTTACGCGTTAGATCATTTTTTTTTCAGTAAAAAATGTATTTTATTCATTCAGTTGGGCCGCAAAGATATTGTTGTGGTTTCAGAAAACGGAGTGGGATAGAGTTGCCCAACGTAAAGGCCCCAAATTTTGTTTTGGGGACATTAAATTTGAGAAGCCATTCTTTGTCTCAATTAACAGCAGTTCACTTTTGAGATCAGAAGTCAAGATATATGTCTGTGTTGGTGTGTCTGCTTATGTTTATATGATTGTATAATATATATATATATATATATATATATATATATATATATATATATATATATATGAACAAATATATTCTTAAGGTGTGCTATATTTATGGGATAAAGTGCTCAATATCTTTACTGGGTGTATCGTACTCGGTGTGGTGCTACCCTTACAAAATCACCACTATGTGCGCCAATCTCTGTAATCTGTGCTTTCATCTTATTTTGCGTAGATCCTGCAACTCGGGTTAGTTCCATCCTTGCTTATGTGGCAATGATAGTGTTATGGGCGTGTTCTTTAACGCATATATCTTTTGTATTATTAATGATTCAAGAAAACAACGAAACTTCAAATGTGATTCAACAAGTATATATTGAAATGACATACAAGAACAAAATATACAATAATTTGTATTCAATGTATAGATTAAGAAAGTGTGTTGTGTTAGAGAAATAACATGGTTGATTGAGACACAGATATATATATATATGTATATATATATATATATATGTACTACAAAATTCTGTGTGTGTGTGTGTGTGTGTGTTTGAAATGTTGTGAGTAAAGTCATAGGTTTGTGTTGGCAGGCGAAATTTAGTGGACTCTACTGTGAAAAAGTCGCCTCTTTTAAAGCTACAGATAGGCTCCCAGCGAAACCGCGGGCAAAGTTGATTTTGCACTAAAATATGTGATTGGTTAAAATTTGACCCATCGCTAAATTTGTACTAACGAAACAAGTAAGCAAGTTCAAAACCGAAAAATTCAAAGCAACGACTGCGATGGCTAAATTGTCCTATAGAAAGGCAGTATTGATTCATTAGTCAATGGCAGACGAATAAAATGTGGGCGTGGAAAAAACATAGCAGTCGCTACAATAGGATCTGATCGCGAGGCTTTGGCCCTGAGCTACAATAATTAGGCATTTTGTCTCAGTTTTCAACCCGGTGCTCCTCAGCCTCTTAAAGCGCGTGTTAAGTAATAATAACAATAATAATAATATGTGTGCGTGTTCGTGTGTGTGTGTGTGTGTGTGTGTGTGTGTGTGTGTGTGTGTAAATATGAAGGCCTTCGCTATTTGTTGCGGATACTTCACGGTACGGAACAAAGTAACCAAGGTTTATAGACGAGATTGTAGCTTTGCCTCGACCAGCTTCAAAACATCATATATTTATTTCTCCTGCATTAAAAATTGCATTATAGCATTTAAATTGGACACCTGGATACTTTAGCACAAATTAAAAAACAAATTCTCTCAGTCACTGTGAGTTTATCTAAAAATAAATACGCTTAAATTCACCTTCATCTCTGCCATGCGCCAACGGCTTAGGGGTAGAATCTCCCAACTGACGCTAACTCTGTCTAGAGGCAACCAGACGTCTGGCCACACTGATGAGCTGCGAAACTGTGTGTCTGTGAATGACTATATATCTATCTATATATATATTAACACAGGAAAAAATCTCATACAATAACTTTTATTCTGTAACAATGCTTATACGGTTTGCTCAATTTAAAAATGTGTGGTTGTGAGATAATTTTTCCAATGCATCTCGCTCTGAATTTTATATCTCATATTTTAAATTTCATAGCTTGAATCGAGCACTTTTTTGGCGTTTACGTCTTTCTAGGCGGCCCCCACTTATTTTTTACTTATTTTTTTGGCCTCGTATTATAATATATATATATATATATATATATATATATATATATATATATATATATATATGAATCATTCATACAAGAAGTAGATTAGTAAAGTTAATGATATAAAATGGCGAAATCCTTTCGCAAACAAATGTTGCATTAACCTACAAATCACTCGATGAATGTTATGATCCTTGTTTTTAATAATTAAAAGCTGTATAAGTTCTTTTTTTTAACATGAAAGTACTTTCAACTGTACATACAGTCATCCTCAGGCATGGAAATTATTTTGTTTTTAGTAAAATACAGGTAGCATCCGAGACAAAAAAAATAAATGCGAATCGAAATAGTTTTTTTTTTTTTTTTTTAAATGTGTTATTGTTAACGGATACAAACTTTTGGAGCGTGCAGTGGCAAAGCTAAGGTTGTTTTTTTTTGAAAATCTAAGAGCTTGCGTTTTTTACTAATATGACAATTTGTAGGTTAATGCAACTTTAAAATGTTGTTTGCGAAAGGATTTCGCCATTTTATATCATTAACTTTATCATTAACTGTAATATAAATTGAACTGCATCACATATTTGATTTAAAAGAACTGATCCGACCTGCAAATTTTCGGGATAACAACTGAGACATTACTCTATTTATTGAACAATTTAGTTCATGCCATATTGACTGATAAACTCCTACAATAAAAAAAAATCTCAAATTCAATTCTGTAACTATTTCCTGACTTGGGGAAGTTAATAATTCTGTGTCTCATGTCAACGCTAAGCACGTTTGTCTTCCCCATCATGTTGTTAACGTAAGAATAACAACAGTGACGCTCTATGCACCACGTGATGTTCTTTGCTGGAATTATCACAAATATTCGACTGAATAAATAGTCTGGAAAGTCTCACTGATAAAATAATTATGTAAATTACTTATACTTACACAAATTAATCAATTTAAAATGATATTTTCTTTCTGTACAAATAATTTTGTCTTTTCCTATATTGCATAATTCACCTGTCAAATTTGTTGTATTTAATCTATTGTTCTGAAAATTGAGTTTTATATTCCATTATTTGTGCTTATTAACATATAAAAAACCTGGCATCATACGGTCATTAGATTCTGAGAAATGGATAAAAATATCCAAAATTGATGGGAACATGAATAATTTCGTCATTGACTCTGTGTGTGTGTGTGTGTGTGTGTGTGTGTGTGTGTGTGTGTGTGTGTGTGTGTATATTTTTTATCACTTTAAACTTTCTTTTTAGGGGATACCTATATTTGAGTATTCAAACTTTTGACGATGTCTTTCAAAACAACTCTTGGATTTATATTAACCTCACGACACAGTTTTCGTGTATTTCTCGGTGACAATTTGTGTTTTCTTTGACGCCCAGGAAAATTCTCTGTCGTGCCAAATTGTTTAAACTTCTTTATAACGAACTGTACCGTAGATCCAGGGATAGCTAACAGGTTTGAAATAGTGCTGTAACTATTTCCTGTCTTGTGAAAGTTAATTCTCTGTCTCAAGTCAAAGCTCCTTTGTCTTCCCTCTTGTGTTGTTAACGTAAGAATAACAAAGGTGACCCTCTATGCACCACGTGATGTTCTTTACTGGAATTATCACAAATGTTTGACTGAATAAATAGTCTAAAAGGCTTTAACTATAAAATAATTATGTAAATTACTTATATTTACACGAATCAATCAATTTAAAACGTTATTTTCTATGATACTGCCATTTTGTCGTTGACTGTGTAATACCGCCAGTTTGTACATATGTTGAATTTAATATGGAAAGCAATCTCTCAAACAAGCCTATCTATTCATTTCTCCACTTGCCCACCAATCTTACCTCGTAGAAAAAATTGTAAAGTTTATTCACTATTCATAAGTACGAAAAAAGAGAATAAAGCTAAACTTTTTTTTAAACAAATTCATCATTAAATTCTTTCCACCATTCAAATGATCGATGGAGTAGCAAGGTTTTCTCAGCAGCCGGGGGGCAAATATAGTTTTGGTGTCTCCGCCTGAGTTACTTCTGAAATCTTTTATTATATATTTTTGATTTATTACCCTTTAAATGACAATAATAAAGAATGAATTCCCACTTTACCCAGGCTAAAAATAAAGTCCCAATATCATAATTGTAAAACTAGAACTAATTGAATTAAACCAATATATTAAGTCTACTTGGAAATCTTTCTGAAAATCATGTCTTCCAGAAATGTTACTTTTCAATGTAGCAGCTCGACTAAATCAATATTGTCTCTAGTCCAGAGTCTTGAACTCGCTTGGAAAGCCATTCATCTGTGTTAGTGTCCATGGTTTATGTAACAGACAGAAAAAAAAAAAACAAAAAGGAAAAACGCGAGATCTCGTAGATTTACAATAAAAATCGCACGATCTCGTAGATTTACAAAAAAACGGAGAGATCTCACAGATTTTCAGTAAAAAAAAAAAAAGTCGAGATCTCATAGATTTACATAAAAAAAAATCTTCTTACAAAACTGTTATTCCTAAAGACATGAGTGGAATTTTCAACTTCGTTTTCTTATGTATATATAAGAAATATTTAGGTAGTAAGAATTCATCCGTCCAGACAAGTTTTCCTAAATTCAGCTGACATTGTGTCCCTTTGATATTTTAAATAAAATGTACATTGAATCAATATAGATATGTTATATATATATATATATATATATATATATATATATATATATATATATATATATATATATAC